CATGTTAAGTTCATTTAAATTTTGACTAAACTTAAATAGTTTTGACTACATTATGACAAACATAAACTGACCAAACTTGTACAACAGCTAAAGAAAACCAAATCCAGTTAAAATACTAAACTTAAAAGGACTAATACATTAGTTTATGTTCCTTAAGTCTGATTGGTAGATTTCCATTGTTTTTTGTTTTTTTTACAATTTTTCAACATAGTGATTTGTTCTGGAAATAACAAATTGAAGGATGGGTTGAATGGTAGATTTCAAATGTTCTGTTAAAACGAAAGGGCCATCTCTCTATTTACAGAATAATGAAAGGGCCATCTCTATTTACAGAATAACGAAAGGGCCATCTCTCTATTTACAGAAAAATGAAAGGGCCATCTCTCTCTATTTACAGAATAATATCTCTCAATTTACAGAATAACGAAAGGGCCATCTCTCTATTTACAGAATAACGAAAGGGCCATCTCTCTATTTCCAGAAAAATGAAAGGGCCATCTCTCTATTTACAGAATAGTCTAGACTGTCTTATCTTCGACATTTATATAATAATGTTATTGTGCACCGTATGCAGTTCCTCACCAAGAAACGCCCTTTAACGTATGCTGTTCCTTACCAAGAAACGCCCTTTAACGTATGCTGTTCCTTACCAAGAAATGCCCTTTAACGTATGCAGTTCCTTACCAAGAAATGCCCTTTAACGTATGCTGTTCCTTACCAAGAAACGCCCTTTAACGTATGCAGTTCCTTACCAAGAAATGCCCTTTAACGTATGCTGTTCCTTACCAAGAAACGCCCTTTAACGTATGCAGTTCCTTACCAAGAAATGCCCTTTAACGTATGCTGTTCCTTACCAAGAAACGCCCTTTAACGTATGCAGTTCCTTACCAAGAAATGCCCTTTAACGTATGCTGTTCCTTACCAAGAAACGCCCTTTAACGTATGCAGTTCCTTACCAAGAAATGCCCTTTAACGTATGCTGTTCCTTACCAAGAAACGCCCTTTAACGTATGCTGTTCCTTAACAAGAAACTCCCTTTAACGTATGCAGTTCCTTACCAAGAAATGCCTTTAACGTATGCTGTTCCTTAACAAGAAACTCCCTTTAACGTATGCAGTTCCTTACCAAGAAATGCCTTTAACGTATGCTGTTCCTTAACAAGAAACTCCCTTTAACGTATGCTGTTCCTTAACAAGAAACTCCCTTTAGCGTATGCAGTTCCTTACCAAGAAATGCCTTTAACGTATGCTGTTCCTTAACAAGAAACTCCCTTTAGCGTATGCAGTTCCTTACCAAGAAATGCCTTTAACGTATTCTGTTCCTTAACAAGAAACTCCCTTTAACGTATGCTGTTCCTTACCAAGAAACGCCCTTTGACGTATGCTGTTCCTTACCAAGAAACGCCCTTTGACGTATGCAGTTCCTTACCAAGAAACACCCTTTAACTTATGCAGTTCCTTACCAAGAAACGCCCTTTGACGTATGCTGTTCCTTACCAAGAAACGCCCTTTGACGTATGCAGTTCCTTACCAAGAAACACCCTTTAACGTATACAGTTCCTTACCAAGAAACGCCCTTTGACGTATGCTGTTCCTTACCAAGAAACGCCCTTTAACGTATGCTGTTCCTTAACAAGAAACTCCCTTTAGCGTATGCAGTTCCTTACCAAGAAATGCCTTTAACGTATGCTGTGCCTTAACAAGAAACTCCCTTTAACGTATGCTGTTCCTTAACAAGAAACTCCCTTTAGCGTATGCAGTTCCTTACCAAGAAATGCCTTTAACGTATTCTGTTCCTTAACAAGAAACTCCCTTTAACGTATGCAGTTCCTTCCCAAGAAATGCCTTTAACGTATGCTGTTCCTTAACAAGAAACTCCCTTTAGCGTATGCAGTTCCTTACCAAGAAATGCCTTTAACGTATTCTGTTCCTTAACAAGAAACTCCCTTTAACGTATGCAGTTCCTTACCAAGAAATGCCCTTTAACGTATGCTGTTCCTTACCAAGAAATGCCCTTTAACGTATGCAGTTCCTTACCAAGAAACGCCCTTTGACGTATGCAGTTCCTTACCAAGAAATGCCCTTTAACGTATGCTGTTCCAACCCGATACCTATAATGACTATACTTGAGATACCTTTATAAATAGGAGAGTTTACGTTCAGTAAGAACAGTTGGTATGTCGGTAGTATTGGTGTTACCAATTCCTATCTGATATATAGTCAATAATCTTCAAATCCTAATTTCAGGCTGGTGGTTTGTGATTGTTCATGTACAGTAATATTTTTAGACAATAGTCTAAAATAAATGAAATGATAATCATTTTCTTTTCATTCTAAATTTCCAAACAATTCCAATCCTTTCCTCCTCTTCATCATAGTCATGCTGCCCCTTTGGTTCATCTTCTAATTCTTTCATCATCGGTGGCTGCTAGCTTCTTTTTGGGCGTGGAAATTGATGTATTAACTCGTTTAAAAACTTTTTTTTATATGAAGCAATATTTATTCGAAAAAAGTTAACAGAACTTACATTGAAGAAACATTTTGCTAATGTCAAGTTTGTCTCAAATTATAGAAATGTATTTAGGGTTGTCCACTTATTTGTTAGGAGAGCTTGTTAGAGGTTATAGATTTTACAGACAGCTGAATTAATTTTTATGTACGATTGTGCATAGTTGTACATAAAGCTAGATTGACTGAGAAATAAAGTTGATTCTTTATTAAAAGGAAAAAGTTTACATTAAACAAAACAAGTAGTCCTTTTATGTTTACAAACGGAACACATGGATTCATTTAAACTTAGTTCTAAGATGTCTTCTTTCCTAGCTTTCTCCTCATCTCTCTGGCTTTCCAGCACTCTTCTTGCACAACCAGAAACACCTTAGTTTGCTTGGTATTGATATAACAACCTCACCTTACACATGCCTTCAGGGAGACCCATTTCTTGTAATAAAGCAAATTTATAATGCGAAGCTAAATTTTGAGAGTTTCCTACTAGAAGCTTGTCTGTCACTTTAACATTGAGTACAGATTTTCTTAGATTACAGAATTATTACCTTGCCATTATGGTATTAAGTAATTTCTTTTCTGATCCTAGAAAGGATCCTACAAGAGCAATAACTTCTAAAATAAAACGGAAAAATAAGATTTTCAATGAGTTATAAGTGTTCCTACTTGTTTTAGCTGACCATTTTATAGATTTCTTTTGTGAAGAAATGGGATCCAAGTACTTGCTATTGACCTTTGTATTAACTTGCATGCTTTCATTTACATTATACTCTAACAAAGGAAATATTCAAGAATCAAAACAAACTTATATTTTGCTAAAATATTCAGAACACTTTGCATGACAACATAGCTGCTCCAAAAAGCACTTGAATGAAACATAATTTCTTTACAGCTTAATTGATCTTTATCATACAAAGCTTGTGTTATTTTGGGATGAAACATATTGAACAAATGTATTTTGTTGAATATCAAGTTTTGATTTGAATATTACCTATGGTGGAAGTTTCAGTTTTGTAAGAATTCACACACAATCAAATGTTAGTTTTAAAACAATTTTCACGATAAAATGTCAACACCAACCACTTGCACTTGGTTGAGAACTTAAATTCTGTGTTAAAATTTTACTTCTTTTTATCATGTCTTTTTAAATCTATAATGTTTTAAAAACACGTTTATACCTATTCTCTTGAACATCAACCTGAATTATATATATAGAAGCTGTTATTCACGATATTAAATTGTTCTAAAATGTTAAGATTTATTTTTATATTTTTACTATTTTTCACATATTTTTACTATTTTTCACATTTTCCTGTTTTTAGTGTTTAGATGGTTCTTGATCGCTCTTAACATTAGCTAGGATTTGTTGCATAAATGTAGTCTATAATGTCTAGTTCATGTTGTGAAAATAATAATCGGAGCAGTAGGTGAAATGTTGTTTTCATGTTGTCCGAATAATCCTAAAATTTCCTGGTTTAAATAAGATTTCCTTCAGAGGTGCATTCCCTCTGTTTTTGTTGTTGATGGTGTTTCTTTGAATGCAGGTATGTAAAAAACACCCTCACCAAAGTCTTTCTGAATCGGTGAATAGCTGCAAGGGCTTCAAAACATCTATCTCCTCAAATTTCTGTGGTTTAAATTGATAGTAATAGTAATCTCTGCTGGTAGAAAGGGAATCAGCTTCTGACTTATCTAAATAAAGATCACTTACCAAAGTTACAAAGCGATCATTTCTTCATGTTGTCAAGATATGAAAAGATCTGTTATACACAAGGTTTATTTAGTGCCATAGGTAATTTGAGTTGTAAAGAAATATCAGAGGAATTTTGATGTAAAGAGATTTTTTGTTGGGGAAATATTATTGAATTTGAAGTTCGCACCAGTATAGTGGAAAGTGTGAACTCTGTTAGAATAGATAATTGCATTGGTAATTGAATAAACATAAAGAATATTGGATTAATACTCTACCGTTATGAATGCATAGCAAATGTTGTTTCACCATGATAATTGATGATGTATTTAGTCAGAAGGTGCAAAATGTGGCAACAAGTCGCTGGGGTTGAAACCAAAGGAAAATTAGTATTCGATAAATGTAATTGAAGTGACAAGTGAACAGTTCACAGATGTACAGACATAACTGAAAACTGGAGCTATTTCTGACTTCTTTCTTTTGTGATTGGAAGTGTAAGACAACGGTGAAAATATTTTCCATTACGAGATTTCAGTGGATTAGGGAAGTTTATCTAAATGATCAAACAGACAATAAAGCAGTAAGCTGACTATACAGGTACTTCATGTCTTAATATCACTAGAACTTTATTTCTCAATGTTTAAAACAATTCATTTGTGACCGTAACATATTTTGTTTTTTATTTTATCACCAAGATCATTGTGTGATCCTTATTTTTCGTTTTGTAAACGTTTTGGTAGAAATTGCTGTATACTATAGTAAGTTGTCATTGCATATTTTGTATTCTTTACCATTTTCTTCCACAGAAACTCTGACCGTAAACAAAATATTGAAACATACCACCAGATGAATGGGAAAAAAAATGGCAATACCACCAAAACATCTCGAGCGCGACGCTCACCATTATTTTTAGACACGTCAGTAGCCAATGAGTCGTTAGGAAATGAGACGGAGTACAACACTACAGAAGTGGGCGAGCCGGACTCGGCAGACATTCCTGGTGAAGCATCCAATCCTTACTATAGAGCAGTGGTGTACAAGAGAGAATTCATCATCCCAAATCTGATGCACTACCGAGACTACAACATTGAGGTACATTTCTGTTTCGTTTGTAGGTAGGTATTGGTTCAGCGTCGACAACATAACAGTGGTTGGTATTAAAAGTGTACATTTATGCGCCCAGTGAGCTGATGTCATGGCTTGGCTTCAGTTAGCCATCCGTCATCAACCTTTACTCCTAGTCCAGAGAAGCTGAAGGAATTTACACTTATTTTGCCCAGGACATTTCCTGAGCAAAGGAAATTCAATGATGTATAATTGAAGGGTTTAGCATCAGAGGGGACAGTGGGGCAGGCCCCAAATGAGGAAGTAGGTGTGACATTGAAAATACCACTCATTAAATATGAGTAAAAAGGTTTTGGAGCATCCCTGGGCCAAGGGAATCTGAATTTATTTTTTAGCTTACTTTAATAAATAATAATAATATGAAAAGGTATATGCAGCAAAAGAATTTCAGATATGTTGGTACTTCACAAAGTTGATATCTATAATATATGTATTTTACCTTACTTACCCTGGGATGATAGTCCATCAAAGCCATAGAAAGCTTATAAGGTCACCTGAGCTTTGCTCAAGTGACCTATTCTAATCGCTTTCTGTCCGTCGTCGACCGTCGTGTGTTAACTTTTTACATTTTTAACTTCTTCTCAAGAACCAGTGTATGTAGTTTTATCATCCTTGGTAGATGAGGCTACAAAATTGTAAAATTGGGTTTCCTACCCCAACCCCTGGGACCAGGGCGGGGCCCCAAAGGGAAAATTTACCAATATTTCAAAAATCTTCTGCTCCAGACTCAGAGGTACTACAGTCTTTTTCTCTGCATGGAAAGAAAGATCAAAAGAGGTTTTATTTAAATTGTAAATTTCAGGACCCCAAAGCTATCCGTTCTCCCTTTGGGAGGGGGTAAAGTTTACTGTAGTTTTGGGAAATAACACTTTCGGGTATATTTTTACAATTTTCTGTAGGACATTATTTTTACTTGGTGAGAATTATCCTTGGAGAAAGACGGTTTCAAATTGTAAAATTGAGATTCTTACCCCAACCCCTGGGGCCAGGACGGGGCCCCAAAAGGAAAAATAAACCTTCCTCTCCAGAATCTGAGGTACTACAGTCAATTTCAGTGCATGTATAGAAATATCATCAGGAGCTTTATTGAAATTGTCAATTACAGGACCCCCGAGCCATCCGTTCCCCCTTGGGTAGGGGGTAAAGTTTACTATAGTTTATATAGGGAAATAACACTTTAGGGTATATTTCATCCATTTTCCGCAGAAAATTACTCAAACTTAGTCAGAATCATCTTTGGTGAATGAGGGTATTACATTATAAAATTGGGATCCCTGCCCCATCCCCAGGGGCTAGGGTGGGGCCCCAAAGGGAACATCTACCAATATTTTAAAATTATTATCCTTTGATGACATGACATTAGTATTGTATTTCACTTAGTTTACATGCTGATTTCCACATCACATCTAGACAATAAAATAAAGCTACCAGTACCTATGATATAACTCAGGTGACCGTTAAGGCCCTTGGGCATCTTGTTACGATTGGGGTCCCCTGAAAAACCAACAGGAATTTTTTAGATGTTTAAGGTAAGTCTAACCTTTGGTGTGCAGTGTACAAAAAAGTCATTCATAGTCACATTTTATTTGTTATAAATTTGTTCTACGTTTTATGTTATTATAAGATAAGTACATTTCTGTTCAACAGGTGATAGCATGTCAGGAGCGAGACCCGCGGGACTCCAGGGGCAAAAACAGGTCAAAGGAAGAAGCAAAGCTGTGTAGTAGTAGGGCCTTAGCCCTTCAGCGAACTAAGACCTCCAGTAAGTTGACGCTGACTGTACCCAGCCTCTGTACATTCTGTGATATCCTTTTTGTGCCTTTTTAGATATGCTTGCTCTTACACTAAGTTTGTTGCTTCACATTTTGAAAGAGCTTGAAGATAGTTCCTTATTTATCATTTTGAACTTTTCATAATGAGAAGGTAAGACCCATCCTGTCTTTAACATTCGAATAAATAAGATATTTTCTGCCTAGAGTTAATGTAATATATTTTGATCTACAGGAGTGGCCGACAATATCAACACTTCCTCGATCACTGTAAGTGTGATGAAGAACAAAACAGGGGAGGTTATTCTGAAATGGGCACCCCCTCCCAATCCTAACGGGATCATCATTACATACGAAATCAAGTACAGCGACTCAAGCATCAACAATGTAAGTATGCAAATTATAGAAAGCCATCAGAGATCTCAGGAAACTGGATATTTTCTCATATCTCTTGGTAGAGTAAAATATTTCTACATTGGTGTGTTTAAATAAATTATCAAGATCTAGAGCTATTGTTGATTGTTTCTTCCTGTAATTATATCTATCTCCTATATAATAAAGCTGTTAACAGCCTTCAAATCTTACAAGGAAACGTATTTTATAATAATCAGTTCACAAAAAATAAAGATCTATATTAGTCAGTGTATAATTGTCATTGTATATGAACTCTGTCCAGATGATGAACAGCTACATAACTATTATTGACAATGTGTTACAGGTTCAACCTGTCACAGTATGTATATCCCAGAAGATGTACAAATCTCTCGGGGGCCACAAGCTTGACCATTTGGGAGCAGGCAACTACACGTTTAGGATACGGGCTAACTCACTGGCTGGCAACGGGTCGTGGACTGAAGGCCGATACTTTGTCATAGATTCCAACAAAGGTACAGTTATTGTATAATTGATGGACAGTAAAGTGTTTATGTGACCTTGATTCTCGTCACTGTTTTCAAGTGTCATTTAGACAGTGCTAAACAGGTGCATGGATACTGTATAAAGAGAACTCTTCGCTGAAGTTTAACTTCCACTATTATCACCCTCCCTTAATGAGGGCGATATTTTCGTTCTTCCGTAATGAGGGCGATATTTTCTTTCTTCCGTAATAAGGGCGATAGTTATCATTATAGCACACAGTAGTACACAACATTACATACATAGTAAGGAAGGGTGAAAATAACACTACATGAAAACACTCATTCTACAAATGAAGGGTGAAAATAACACCACACGAAAACACTCATTCTACAAATGAAGGGTGCAAATAACACCACACGAAAACACTCATTCTACAAATGAAGGGTGAAAATAACACTACACGAAAACACTCATTCTACAAATGAAGGGTGAAAATAACACTACACGAAAACACTCATTCTACAAATGAAGGGTGCAAATAACACTACACGAAAACACTCATTCTACAAATGAAGGGTGCAAATTTCCCTATATCCAGTATTGTGTGTGTTCATACAGTGCTAAACAGATGTATATTGTGTTTCAGGAGAAGTGATGGCCCAGGAGATGATCGTCGTGGTGTGTGTTGTGGTCGGTATCCTTGTCGTGGTCATTACTGGAATCATCGTTTGGTGTATGGCTCGCAGGCGGTAAGGAACTTCTAGCAAATAGGACACTTTAAAGCACCTGTATTAATACGCAATTTCTCAAGCTTTCTTTTTTACCACCAGAACTCTACAGTAGTATGGGTAATTATAGCATCAGCAATGGGAAGTTTCCTTTACTTCAGACTAGGATCCTACCGTAAAATTTGGACAAAGATATTGCATAGAAGTTATATTGCATTGAAATTTGTGGAATTTTAAAATAAAATTATCATACAAAAAAACACACCAGTTACCAGTGATCATCTGTTTCCAGACAAGTGTCTATGTAAACAGTCCAGTAAGTATGAATACTAATCGATTTTTTATCATTGGTTGTTTCAGGTTCCGTGAATACCCAGACATCCAGAACATATCTGCCAATCCAGAATACATGTCAAATTATGATGGTAAGAATTATCTCCTCTTTTTACAATTTAAAATGTTGCTATTTGAGGAATAGAATTAAAAAATATCAAGAACACTGAGTAGTAAATAATTTCAAACATAAATAGAAGCTATTTATGCATATTTATTACAAATTGGACATCAGTTTACCAATAATCAGTAAGTGTTCTGCCAACGCTGAGTGAGGAAATTTTCACGCCTGTGGGTAAGGTAAATTCTCGGAGAAAAGGAGAATTATTCTAACCATAAACTGTACCTAAAAGGCTCTTAATTTGTGTTTGAGAACTCTTTGTTGATGGAGGTTACAATTGTGAATTAATTACCAAGTAGTGTTCAAAATTCTTGCATCATTTTGACGAAACTGGCTTTATATATAGGTATTCCAAAAAATTAAAGTAATTTTTGAATTTGAATAGAATAGGAACATATTATTTTTAATGTAGTGCACTTATTATTGCAAGTCATTCATAGACTGCTTTAATATCTTGTTCGTTCTCAGGACAACACAGAAAGTCTAAAAAAAATACCATCTGAATCCTGAATATCAGATGAACACAGTGTGTCAGGCATTTTATGAAAAGTGTCCAATTTTGGATTCGTTTATGAGATGATGAATATGATCATTGATGAGGACTTCTGAAGACATTGGTGTTAGTCCATGACCATACCCTGATGGTCGATCTATTGCTTATGTTTCAGCTTACATAGCGGACGACTGGGAAGTGGATCGGGACAAGGTCAAGCTCATCCGTGAACTTGGTCAAGGGTCCTTTGGGATGGTGTACGAGGGCCTTGCCAGTACTCTGAAGGAAGTGGACGGGGAGACGAAAGTGGCAGTAAAGGTAAGGGTTTTCACCATTGTTGTTGTGTCAAGGTTTAATGAAGCTGATTCAATTAGAATAGTATAGGTTAAAGGAAATAAAACATTTATACATTTTTAAATCTGGTATTAAATCAGAATCACTCCTTTAACATTTATTTATCCCAGCTTACATGTGTGAAATGCATTTCCTTTTTTTTGTTTGATTATTTTCAATGGTCCCAACAATTTGTGAATGATATGGCATGACTACATATTGGTTTTGTTTTCTGTCATTACAGACTGTGAACTCTAGTGCTACATTTACTGAGCGAATGAGTTTCTTAAATGAAGCTTCCATTATGAAGTAAGTATCATGCAGATTAAGTTTCTTAAATGAACTTCCATTATGAAGTAAGTATCATAAAGATAGTTGGATGGTCAGATATTAAAAGTTTGATTCAAATTGATTTGATCAGCTTTGATTTTAGCAAATATACATTTGGGATTGTCTCGATTCATAGTTTGGCAAAAATGTTGATGAACTTTTTTTATTGAACTCCTTGTTAGACTTTCCTACTGGAATAGTGCATCCCATTGGTCTGGACACCCTTGTTTCCGAAACAAAGTTTTGATACCATTTTTCTTTTTATTATATTAACAGGAAAAGTTTATTAAAACAATGACCATTATTCTTAAAGATTTAAGGAGGCTTGGCTGTACATAGTTTGCGTTGGTTTCAGGACATTTGTCTGCTCCCATGTGGTACGTCTGCTCGGAGTTGTGTCTGCGGGGGTGGCTCAGGGAAAGCCAGCCTATGTCATCATGGAACTTATGAGCAACGGAGATTTGAAAAACTTTCTTCGCATGCATCGGCCAGATGAGGAGGTATTGTTTGATTATATACAATGAAAAAATAAAGTGTTATAGAGTTCACAATGGAGAAATTATGTTTTTAAGACAGAATCGAATTAATTGTTGTATTATTTTCTCATAAGTATAGAACTAGAGAAAAAAATATTGTCTCACAGGGTTTCAGATCAGTTTACAGTCAAATTGGGTAGATATTGTTGCAAAAAATATTTTGAAAAGACGAGAAATCTATATACGTACACTTTTTTTAAAATTAGTAACAGCATGTTAAATACTTTTATGAATGAAGAATATCAATTATAAATGGACCAAAAAAATGTAAAATCAAATGAAAATAGGTGAAAACTAAAATATTTCCTATATCTTCTTACTTTTCAGGATAATGCAGGTCGTTCCCCTCCGACTCTACACCGTATCATGCAGATGGCGGGAGAAATCGCTGATGGAATGGCTTATCTCGCCGACAAAAAATTTGTTCATCGTGATCTGGCTGCCAGAAATTGTATGGTGTCTGACAATTTAACAGTAAAGATTGGAGGTAAGGGGAGATAATAAAATATCTTCACCGTGACATTGGTATTCAAGTTTTACCAATAGGGCAAGTTAGGAAGCTTCTGTCATAAAAGGTTTTAATCCTTTCACCACTATAGACCATAATGGAATTACCCAGATCAGTGCATGGTAGAGTTTATTATAGTTACATAGGGGTCAAAGGGTTAGGCAAGATTGTGAAATAATTGTTTATTACCGTTGGGCTAGGTCAGTTACAAATTATGTTTTTGCTGTAAATAATCCTCCACTTATCAAAATGACAACTTAGTGATGACAAATATCACCTTGAAATTATGTTATGTTAAAGATGACAGTAAAAATAAATGAGCAGTTTGTTTTTATGCACTTTTTGGGAAGAATTTTAAAAATTCTTTTTTTTGTGTTACAGATTTTGGAATGACCAGAGACATTTATGAGACAGATTATTATAGAAAAGGTGGGAAAGGGCTTTTACCTGTTAGGTGGATGGCCCCGGAGTCATTGAAGGATGGTATATTTACCAGTATGTCGGATGTATGGTAAGTCAGACACACCCTCTTTAGGACAGTCACTCTTTAAGGAAAGTATTTCGTATATAAATGAAAAAAATTGATGCCAATCTACATGACCGCCACCCACCAACACCCCCAACACCCCCACCAACCCCACCACGTCGTCCATTAACCCTTTTACATTTTTAACTTAGACTCAAATTCTACTGTCACATTGATTAAGCCCTCATTTAGTGGAAATGAAGGGTGCATGGTCCAGACATACAGTGTACTCCTGCTAGTTTGGAACCAGTTTGAAACCAAATAAATATGTCTTCCATAGCAGCCATCTTGAAAATTATAATTTATCCAGACCAGTTGTAATTATTTGGAGCTGAATTAAAATCAAATATGACTACCAAAAACATCTCCTTTTCACTGTCTTGGACTTTGCAGGTCTTATGGTGTGGTTATATGGGAAATGACCACACTTGCTGCACAGCCATATCAAGGCCTCTCCAATGAGGAGGTCCTCAAATATGTCATCAATGCAAAAACCATGGACACACCGGAAGGCTGTCCAGAGATTCTGTAAGTATAGTGGGACTTTGTCTGGTGGCCATATAAACCAGGTGGTGTCTGGTGGCTATATAAACCAGGTGACGTCTGGTGGCTATTTAAACCAGGTGATATGCCATGATGGGTTTGAATTTTAGTGGCCATTGGCCGTGTGAGACAGGTGACCACTTCTTCAAGTGTACTAATATAGTGATTTTTGTTGGGGAGGGGGTATGATCATTCATAACAGGTGGCCGCTAAGACAGATTTGACTGTATGGAGTTTTGGACGTATGGGACAGTTGTGAAAAGATTTCAAAAATAAAGACCAGGACCTGGTGTTGAATTGATATTAAAACCAGTTACTTCATATAGTTGTTTCCTAACTGAAAACTGAAACTGAAAGATGTTTGTGTTGAGGTTTATGACATCAGAACGGTTAACCGTGAAATGTTTGTTGAAAATGAAGGCATGCATTCCTTGTTAAACTTATTGTCTGCATCATAGCATTGCAGTTGGTTGCTGTTGGTTGTATATGAATGCAAGATATCATCAGGAGACTATTAGAATATCTTCCTCTATTCAAAAAGCTCTGAATGACAGTCATGTTATGATATTTTCAGATCAAATTTAATTTAATTCAGTAAATACAAAGATATCGGCAAGATCAGTAAGTCATTCCTGTTATTATTATTTTTTTTACAGAACTAAAGCCTTTGGTGTGATTTTGAATATAAAGAATTGAAACAAATCAACTGTAGGAATTAATTTCCCGTCAATTTTGTACAGTCTTGATGAATTTACTGTTAACTTTGTTACTGTTGTTTTACAGATATGAAATGATGTTACAATGCTGGAAATACCGACCGAAATCACGGCCAACATTCAAGGAAATTATAGAAATACTAATACCTGAACTTGATCCACAATTCAAGGAGTCTTCGTATTTCTTTAACGAGGGGAAAGTGGAGAGTGCTGATTATGATGAGGAGTATGGAGATGATATTGGGCAGGACGATTCTCATATGCCCTTCATTTCGGGTGAGGGATCAAGAGGGAGTGGGGCGTGTTTAAAGCATGAGGATGACATAGACTTTGTTGATACGGACTACCGATATTCAAGTTACCCACATAACCATGTGGGGGCCTCCGAGCCATGTGACTGTATACTATTACAAGAGACCAAGGGGGGAGGGATAGGTGGGGTGCACAATGACAACAACCACCAGTTCAATGCGGGCTCCAACAGTGCAATAGACTCGTCCAATGACGGAAGCAAGGAGAGCAGCAAGAGCTCAAATCATAGTTATAATCCCATTAACGGCATCAACATCCCGCCTAATATAGCCAATGGACATGTGCCTGTACACATGCGGACAACCACATCGTGCTAGTTCAGTGAGGATTATCGTGGGTCCATTTTTACTCGTAGAATACATCATCATGCAGAACAACCTTCTCAATAGTTACACATGCAAACCTAATTACACAAAACAACATGCTGATCATCTTCCAACCAAAAAATCTTCACAAAAATTCAAATGACAAACCACATACATAATCAACTCAACAGAGGATATTGCATACATGTGGAACAAAACATGTTATCATATTCGGGAAAATTGTACATACAACACCTGGAATCTTCTTTGATGTTGTATATAAAGGATCTCGTGGTTTTGCGAGAGTCCCAACCCTAATACCTTCGCTGTGTGTTATGTGTCGACTGATCTCTGCCGCCATTCAAGTCCAAAGGGAAATCTTTAAGTGTCTGTGCATGTTAGTTGGTGACCGTGTGATCTTATTGTTGTTGGATGTGAAAGCTCCACCCGCCTACCCTGCCATCCCCAACACATTTGTTACTAAATTTTCACTGGAGAGTGAATTCAAGAGAGATAACCTTGTCATTCATAGTTTTCACTATTAATATTAGGAAATAATGATATAACATTTTTATGTACATGGTACCTCCTGTTTTACAAGTTTTAGTTTGAACATCAAAATCATGATTTGGTTTTTTAAAGCACACATGTTTTACCTATGTTTTATGAATTATTTTTTTTGCATATGTGGTCACATTGTACGTAAGAATATAGTACATATTATAAAATATAAATGTTTGTGACAACTTTACAGCAAAGAAAAGAAGCTGAGGAATAGTTGGATTGTTGCCAGACCTCTAATCACATGGGAGCTTGCCACTTAGTATACTGCAACAAAGCCTATCTTGCACCATCTGTCCTGATTTGTACTATTAAAACCTAATGTTACAGGTACCACTTGTTTAGTTTTTAAAGATACAGTTCTTTTTATCCAGCCTTCAATTTGATAAAATGTTGAGAAAAGATATGTGTTAATTGAAGAAAGGAATGAATTTTGAAAATACTGTTAGATAATGCAATATGACATGAAAGTACATGTGCTTTATTACAATTACAGGTTTGATTTAAGAAAATGTTTTGTAGAATCTCATTAGGTTTTGTTTGTGGATATTTTGGTTAATATTTACTGATATCATTAACTCGGTATGAAATTCAGGTTCTCTTTTGATTTTTGATTAGTTTAAATATCTGTATGATTATAGAATAAAAATAACAATTTTCCAATAAGAAATGTCACACTTTTCATTTTAGCATAATTTATTTTAGGTTTATATATTTTTTTTAAAGAAATTGCTGTAGGGTGTTTTTTCGGTCATGACTTGAATATTTTAGATTGTAGATAAATGCTCTCAGAATTGTCTGCCCTGGATATTTACTTCTCCCTACTGGTTTATATTTTCTCTCAGGAAGCTGCTAAATACAGGTATGATAATATTTATATCACCATCTACGGGCATATTGATACGGGCAAAAACGTTTTTGAAAGCTCTAAAATATTTTGCTGAATAGCATAGGTCAAGATTTTATCCGTTCTTGACTGTTTTAAAATTTTATCTGTTGAAACTTGTGAATTTACCTGTCAGTGTCTCAGGGTGGCAAATATATTTTAGAGATTAAAGTTATTAAAAACTGTTTTTAGCCGAAGCAAATCGGTGTGATTTGCCAAAGATAGTTGTGCAATCAAGTCATAGAGTACATTTAAACTTCTGTTCTCAATTATGTACATCATCAAATAACCAGATAAGATAGGACGCAAGTTAGATACAGTTTTCAAGAGGATATAAAACTTACTACCAGTATTTTATCATAAAACTTCCAATGCTTTTCGAGACATTTCACAATACTGAATAAATTAAATGACAATAATAATCAAAATATAAACGGCCTTCTCAATGAATGAACACAGTTCCGGTATTCTAATTTTTATCATGCTGAAAGTAAAAAAAAAAAAGTAGGGGAAATCATTCTGAAAAATCGATATTCTTTAAGTGTTATTGATGTGCATTATTTGACAGAACTGTAAAAGTACCTGTGTCATATAAAACCTTGTCATATTTGTATAAAATCTTATATTACTGTTTTACTTATTAATTATCTAAAGCTTTTCTAACCATTTGACTATATAAAGCTTGTCTTACTGTTTGCCTATAAAAGCTTGTTTTACTGTAAAAAGCTTGGCTTACTGTTAGTAAAAAAGCTCATCTTACTGTAAAAAGCTTGTCTTACTGTTTGTAAAAAGGCTTGTCTTCCTGTTTGACTATAAAAGCTTGTAATGTTTGACTGAAAAAGCTCATCTTACCATAAAAAGCTTGTCTTACTGTTTCTATAAAAAGCTTATTTTCTGTAAAAAGCTTGTCTTACTGTTGGTAAAAAAGCTTGTTTTACTGCAAAAATGCTTACCTTACTCTTCGTATAAAAGGCTTGTCTTACTGTTCAATTTTTAAAGCTTGTTTTACTGTAAAAAGCTTCCCTTACTGTTCATATAAAAAGCTTGTCTTACTGTTTGACTTTAAAAGCTTGTTTTACTGTAAAAAGCTTATCTTCCTGTTCGTATAAAAAGCTCATCTCACAGTAAAAAGCTTGTCTTACTGTTTGTGTAAAAAGCTCACTCTACTGTGAAAGGCTTGTCTGACTGTTTTTATGGAAGCTGATCTTACTGTTTGACTATAAAGCTTGTATTACTGTAAAACGCTTTGATAGCTGTTTCTATAAAAAGCTTGTTTTAGTGTTTGACTGTATAAAAGCTTGGCATGCTATTTTAAGAAACTTAAACCCTTTTGAAAACTATTTGACTAAGATCAATGATTTAAATACAGGAGGATAGTAACATGTGAAATGCAGTGTTTCCCTTTATAGTATATAAACAATTGTTGATATGATATTGTAGTATGCTCAGCCTCCCTCATGTGAACTTGGTACATTCATTAGTAGTCAATAAGAGCTGTGTCTATGTATTGTTATTTTCATTACACATTAGGTTGAAGTTTACATCCCTAGAAAGGTGGTGTGTTTGTTTAAATACTGTTTATATCACTTATTTTAATGGTTACCATATTGTAGCATTTTCCCACTAATTTGAGAGCACCAAATTAAGATATTAACTGCTGAATATATAATAACTGGAGTCTTGCATATTATAAGTAACATGAGGGCTATATTAGGATGTGTTAAACTCGTATGAGGACGTATGAGTGTCGAGGACATTTATAGTATAGAGTACATGGTTTCAGAATTGGTTTATCGGGTGGAATATTAATGATGTACTCACCAGGAGTAGTTAATTAAGTATCAGTCATGTGTATGTAGGATGCTTGATAAAAAAAATAGGAAAAGGGCATATTGGCTTACTTATAAGGTTTTATTTAGCAATTTTTAGCTCTTTCAATGCCACTTTTCAGACAACATGTGTAAAAAGAAGAAAAAAACTCTCTGGTCTGTAAAGTAAAATATAGTATCAATAAAAAAGTTGAATGTTTCCCCGCTTTCATGCTGAAAAGAAAATCAAGTACAGAATCTTTGTTATTGAATGCTTGAAATATCTGATTCAGCTCCAGGACATCGGGTTACATGATTATAACTCGTTAGTCCTAATATCTGATTAAGCTCCAGGACATCAGGTTACATATTTATAACTAGTTAGTCCTAATATCTGATTCAGTTCCCGGACATCAGGTTACATTATTATAACTCGTTAGTTCTAATATCTGATTCAGCTCCGGGACATCAGGTTACATTATTATAACTAGTTAGTCCTAATATCTGATTCAGGTCCAGGACATCGGGTTACATTATTATAACTAGTTAGTCCTAATATCTGATTCAGCTTCAGGACATCAGGTTACATTATTATACCTCGTTAGTCCTAATATCTGATTCACCTCCAGGACATTGGGTTACATTATTATAACTCGTTAGTCCTAATATCTGATTCAGCTCCGGGACATCAGGTTACATTATTATAACTAGTTAGTCCTAATATCTGATTCAGCTCCAGGACATTGGGTTACATTATTATAACTCGTTAGTCCTAATATCTGATTCAGCTCCAGGACATCAGGTTACATATTTATAACTAGTTAGTCCTAATATCTGATTCAGCTCCAGGACATCGGGTTACATTATTATAACTCGTTAGTCCTAATAGCCAGACAGCAATGTCCAGCCAATGACAATGACTTACAAATTAACAATCAATCTGCACCGATGACCAATGCAATGCACCTTTTAATAAAAAAAAAAATGGATTAAATTTTTGTAGTACATACTTAACCAATGTGTAAGCCAAAATATCTGATAATCTTGTTTGTAGCAGAAACATAAATTGAGATAGACACATTTTTGATATAAAAAAAAATGACAATAAATGATCTTCCTTCCTCGATAAAAATTAAACTTGATTGCACAAAGCAATGCAAATCATCTTTTCATGACTCATAATTCAATATTGTAGTTATCACACGGTGTATGTTCCATCTACTGACTGCAGGTTGGTGATATTCATTGTCATTTAGCCTTCACCAAGACTACATTATTTATGTGTGGGAGATGTCCAGTAGTTGATGAGATTATTGTATGATAGGGTTGGTGAGGGTGCTTTTTCAGTTACATATATAGATAACAGAAATGCAATTGATTGGACAGATGGAATTATCAAACAATATTTATTGCTTGTGATGAATTAAATGACCGGTAGATTCAAATTACAAATGATGTCAACACTTTCATTGGTTTCTTCTATCACTTTAAGATAATGACACATTGACATCTTGAATTAAACTGAACACCAAAATGTTAAAACCTACACTCTGACAAACTAAATAAAAAAAAAAGGTGTAAGGGAGATAATTTGATATATGTATGATGCTGGTTCAAATTTTCTGTCTTTAATTATCTGTTTAACTCTGAGCTTCACATTCCCTGTTGAAGGTGTGGATGGTTTGTGATGTATCCAGTTCGAAGAAAACATTGTGGCATGAATGATGTGTGTTTGGAAAAGACCGATTCGAGGAACTTCCTGACTTTAAAATTGCATAAAACAGGTTCCGTTTCATAGGTAAAAATTTGTCGGACCAATTTTTGCAGAAATCAAGACGGAAAATATCCACATTAAAATAGAAAATAATGAAATATGATAAAAATCATGTTAAAAAAATATGTTGAAATTCATTCAAAATATGTAGGTTTCAAAATAATATATATGTACAAATTTAATCTACTACCTGATCAGAAAACTACCTCAGATGGATCTGATATCAAATGACTGAAATCTTGACTTACTATGGGCATAAACAAATCTTTATTTAAAATAATATAAATAAGCAATATTAATTAATATTAATTATTTAATATTATGAAAATATATAATTGTAATAGGAAATGATCAATTTTTAGCCCACCATCATCTGATGGTGGGCTATTCAAATCACCTTGTGTCCGTCGTTTGTCCTTAAACAATGCTTGTTATCGGTATTTCTCAAGAAGTACCAGAGGGATCTTTCTCAAATTTTATATGTAGGTTCCCCTTGGTCCTGAGCTGTGCAGGGCAACTTTTAAGACTGACCGGATAAACAACATGGCCGTCAGGCAGCCATCTTGGATTTTGATATTGAAAGTTTGTTATTGCTATTTCGCATGAAGTACCTGAGGGATCTTTCTCAAATTTTATATGTAGGTTCCCCTTAGTCCTTTGCTGTGCAGGGCAACTTTCGAGACTGAACGGATAAATAACATGGCCGACAGGCAGCCATCTTGGATTTTGATAGTGAAAGTTTGTTATCGCTATTTCTCTGGAAGTACGGGATGTATCTTTCTCAAATTTTATATGTAGGTTCCCCTTGGTCTCTCGTTGTGTATGTTATATTTTGAGACTGATCATAAAAACAAAATGGACTAAAAGAATAACTAAACAGATCTTTCTCATATTTCAATGATCGATTCTATTTCTTTCACATTAAGTACTGTACTAGTAAATATGTGAAATGACAAACTCACTTTGAAGGTTGGCTTTCATACACATCAGTATTAAGTTTAGATCAAAAGTTACCTTACCTCAAGGTGCATTTACTGTTAACATGACTCGATCAAACAGATTAGAGGAAAGAAGAGAAAAGATCGAACTGACAAAGAGCGTACAAAGGTGGGCGCCAAGATCCCTCTGGGATCTCTTGTTTTTATACCAGTTTCAGTCTAGAAAGGACATCTCAATTGAAGAAAAGTTTATTACAGTATGTAGGGAATCTTTGAAATGCTAAATAAATGTATCATAATCAAATCTGCATATTGGTTATCTGTCATTTAATGTTCAGGGCAATTAATGGTAAAAAAGTTTTGCCAACCACAAATTAAAAAAGTAAGATAATTATTAACTTTTAAAATTTCACAGGTATAATTATAAGTATAACTAAAAGTTTACTTGATCAAGATTCGTTTCATTTTCTGGAAGTCACCAGAAAATCCCTGTGTTTGAGTCGGTTAGTGTCAAACATTTTGAGTGTGTTGCACCTTAAGGAGGCTGTAGTTCGGATGTATGTTTTGTTGTTATATTATGGCTGTGAATAAATCGGGTTGTCAGTTAAATTCATTTAAGAGTTTATGAGAGATGAGTTTGTTGATTGATTGTTTATATTTTCATTGTTTTTGGTTACTGAAAAAACTTCAGGTGAAGAATAATTGTCTGAATTGTCTGTGTGTTTTTTTCTTATCTTTTCTTTCAGTTCCCTGTTGTCCCTACAATTCACATTGGAATTGTCTGAAAGGTTGAGTACAATGATTGCCTGTTGTCCCTACAACTCACATTCGAATTGTCTGAAAGGTTGAGTACATTGATTGCCTGTTGGAGTGAAAAAGAAAATGTAAAAAGTTTCTGTACTTTTCATTCTTTACTACTGTTGAAAAATGGGAAGAGAAATATAATAAAAATAGTTGTCTTTTTCTGAATTTAAACTTATACCTCATAAAGACCTTTTCATCGTAGTATTTAATTGCACCTGTCTTCAGAGGTTGTAGTAATTAATGCTTTTGTGTGCTTCAAAAATACGTTTGATATTTTTTACTGTTAGTTAGCATGCATATGATAAATAATTTTGAATCTTTTATTTCATATTTTGTAGTTAATTTGATAGCTTTACCGTGATTTGAATGGAAATGTAGGTTTTATGTAGTATTAATGAACTTTTATTGACACAAACTGTTATAATTGTTAGAAAGTGCTACAATTCTAAAATTAATTACATGAAATACCTCCCATTGTAAATAGTGTATTACTAATGTATGAAATTAATGTGTTAATGGTGAGATTGCTTTAAAATCTCTAAAGCAGTTGAACTCTCAGTGATGAAAATATAGGTAGATTTTAAATGTGGTTAAGTGTTCCTTGAAAACTAACTGGAAAAAATTGAATGTCTTTTTTTTTTTTTACATTGTTTTGTGAAATGTCATCTACCTCTTATTTCTGTTTGTTATTACTCTTTTTCGTAAACTAGCATTACTGAGAATTTTGTCTTTTATGTGAATATCTTTGCGATAAAGATGTTGAGAATGGATCAGGTTGAAGTCAAGTGTTTAGGTATCTCTTATTTAACAATTTTCTAAAGGTTTCACTTTTTGCTATTTTTCTTTATTTTTGAACACTAAAGCATGACAGAATAAATTCATATTTAATTACCAAGCCACATTGGATATTTCAGGTCTTTTAAAACATTTCAGAAACACTAAGACACTTGTTACAATTACTCTATGTCACTGTCAAAAATAGTGTATTACCAGCACAGTGTACACAGATGTACTTCATGAAGTTTAGTACGTATGTATTCTGACCCCCAGTTTCATTATATTGCAGCTATACCCATGTTTGAAAACCAAAGAATTGAAATAATTTCCTGCTTAAACGAGAATTAGTGTTAACTAACTATTTGGAGGTTATTTTGAATTCTAGGGTAAAGTCTGATAATCCACAAATTATTTTTAAATTGACAACTCATTGTTAAAGTTCATACTTCATTTACATCACCAGCATTGAGTTTGTTTATTTACAGTTTTTTCCTTGCGTAACTTATTTGAAATTTACTAAATCAATCTTCATCGTTAATATCCTAGGGTCACCAAATTCAGCCAAGTACCGTGAGCTGGCGCCATTTTCAAAATTGTTCTTAAATTTGCAGAATACTTTATGTTTGATGCCATACTGGTATGAAACAACTGTGTTGATTATATTTTGAATGTGTACAAATATTTTTATTTCATTTCTATTTTTCTCTTTGTAAAATTGCAATTTTATGGTTGGTGAATTTCTATATAGACCTATTTTCTTAAAGGTTCTTTTAGGATCGCTTCAGACTTCTACACAGGGGCAAAGACAAAGAGCAATTACTGTCAAATACTGTAGTCAAGGAGAAAACAATACCAATGCTTTATCAATGTAGATTTTGTTCATACTATCAGATTTTAAACAACTTTAGACCATTTGTCAGTTTAGAGAAGAATGTAGACATTGCTTTTTGTTTCATAATTTTTTTAAATAGATTTAAGCATACTTGTTTGTGAAATTGAACTTTGTTCTGTGTACTATATGAGAGAGTAGTTAGCGTGGTGTATGAGGAGAGTAGTTAGTGTGGTGTATGAGGAGAGTAGTTAGCGTGGTGTATGAGGAGAGTAGTAAGCGGGGTGTATGAGGAGAGTAGTTAGTGTGGTGTATGAGGAGAGTAGTTAGCGTGGTGTATGAGGAGAGTAGTTAGCGGGGTGTATGAGGAGAGTAGTTAGTGTGGTGTTTGATGAGAGTAGTGGTGTTTGAGGAGAGTAATTAGCGTGGTGTATGAGGAGAGTAGTTAGTGTGGTGTTTGAGGAGAGCAATAAGCGTGGTGTTTGAGGAGAGTAATTAGCTTGTGAGGTAGATTCCCAATTGGACTTAATACTTGCTATACAAATCATCTTTTAATATCAGGAGCCTGTGTGCATTGCGTACAATTTGAAGGGAAAACAATGTGTATTTATTTATAGTCTGTTTTCTCTTCTGTTCGATTTGATGCATTCCAGTTCATTAGATACGTAGTCACTGGAAAGTTCCGATTGGAATTGATGGGAAAACAGTGGTGTATGGTGTAAATAGACATTATAAAACAGGTGTGTTTATGTCCGTATGATACCAAGATTGACCTGATACCAGATCCTAGTGTGGCCAGCTCATTTTCAATCATACATTTGTGCTCAATGTTGCAATATTCATATCAGTACCTGAAAATTGAACAATTCAAAGACAGGCTCCATTATTTTTCGGCAAAACTTCATCGCATGTATGAATGTTTGAACTTTTATCATTTTAAAATAAATTCTTATGTTTAAATATCACCTTATCACCTGTAAAATTAATTCAAAAGTTAAATGCCAAAATGAAGTAAAAATACATTGAAGGTGAAATTCTGGCAAAACTGCTGTTTAAGCTGAACATATTCAACCTGTGAAATCATTAATTCTGTTGGTGACTATCAATGTAGTAAATAGCATTAAATAGGTTCTTTATCGTTCAAGCACATGTACATGTATATGCTACAATTTGTTTTGAAAAAGACTTCCTGTATCCAATACAAATTCAAAGACTATGATTTTAAAACCCTGTAAACAAGGCCTTTTCTCACTCTCCCTATCACTGCAGGCAGTGATTTCCTGTCAATTAACTTTTTATTTTCTTGAACTAGAAATGTACATGTGAAGCTGACAGGGAATTTGTGACATCCTGTCATTTCAATCTCGTCCGATCAATAATGTTTGAACAATTCATGAATGTCCCAAAAACATTTTGGAAAAATTCTAGTTGAAAATTATAAAAATCATAATCATGCATATTAGATCTGGGGCCAATTCTTATTCAAACCAAAGTGTAAAATGAGAACTCGATGGAATAAAACACTATGTCGAACTTAAAAAAAGCAAGCTGTTATTTGATATGTATGAATACATTTTACAGCACAATGTTTTGTGTCATTTAAGGATACCTAAGAATCACATTTTATCAAAACTTTACATATTTTTCATATTGATTTGTAATCCATAGAGCATTTTATTAAAGTTTTATTCAGGTTTTCCCATAAAGTATACAGGATTTTTTTTCTCTATTCTGTATAGTTATAGAAAATTTGAATGGAATTGAAATGTCACTTGTTAAATCTTTTTTAATTTGTTTTTAGAAAATATCTCTGTAAAGCAGAACACGAATCAGATAGGGCAAGGCAATTATCATTAATACAGTCTACAAAGATGATGTTAAGTAAAGTCAAAATTAACTATTAAAGTTTTTAAACTGATTGTTATGAATAAAATATATGATATTAACTCTCAAAAGAGAAAGACCAAAATGTACTAAATATTCT